TCTTATTGCAAAGAGTAACTGGTTGAAACCATGTTATTTAAACCAAATTATGTTTTCAACAAGCTTTTTATAAGGTGTCCATGGGAAAATGTATAAAAGAACCTTGAGAAAATCACAAGTTGATAGCTATACATGAAACCAGTGGGATTCTGTGGGATTTTGCTTGTGTGGAAGCAAATGTTTAATTTTTTCTAAAGTGACCTCAGAGTCAGGGGAGCTCAACAAGTTTATGAAAAGATCCTTTTTTAACAGCTGACTGAGTTCAGTGACTTGACAAGTATTTTCTGTACCTGTACTCCTTTAAGGGAGAAACCCTTGCTAGACAAAATGCCAATTTAAATTTAAACAAATCTAGAACAAATTTCATTAACTATCTTATTCTAGCCAAGGAATTAATAAAAACTATTTGTTTTTTGTTAAAAGTAATTGAGTAAGGCAACAAATCTTGTGAAGCAAGAGGCAGATGAAGATCACTGATGAGCTATCAGGTGCAGCTTATGCCCAATTCAGTTTTATAAAGGGATGAAATAACCTAAGTATTCATTTTACCAGACTGAAATACATTCATTGTTGAAAAAACTATTGGTTCTGATTCTTCTTTACATAGTAGCTTATGCACATTCATTTTTTAACTAAACTTGTAAATTTTAGTCTGTATTAATGTTCTGTAAATTTCCAAGAAATATGGAGTGTTTTTCTGAACATAGAGAATAATTTTTCTTTGAATGTTTTGTTCATCAGAGTTCCAATAGCCAATACCTGGACTATAAGTAGTTTAACTACAAAGAATGAATACCCTGTGAGAGAAGTGGGAGAATTTTTGGTTATTCTGGATGATGAAAGGAGGAATTGTATCAAGAATTCTTTTCTTAGTTTTACTGCCAACATCCTGCATGAATTCTTGACCAAATGCTCCAAAATTTTATAGTCAAATTTTTAATTACTACAGACTGGATCCCTAGAAACATTTAATTACTGAACTCATGTATACAGGCAGATTACTTCACTCTAGTCTTTGCAGAATCAGAAACAAGTCATTTACTTTCAGATCTTCAAGGAACTTTTGCGCCTAATTTCCTAAAATAAAATTCTTAGTACTGACAGGGCAACATAATGATGATGCAGGATGCAAATACATTAAAATCAATTAATAACACCAACACTAAAATAAGTAGTTCCTTACTGGTGACTTTGAGATAAATCCTTAATCACACACTCAGATGTTTTAAAAACCTAATAAATTAAGACATTAGAATATTTTTTTTTAAATACTGAAAACAGTGAATTTTCCAGTGCCCTAGAGAATGGTAAGGAAAATTATATATGGTAACAAAAATATATATGCAATACTGTGATAAATAGGGATACTCCAGGGTCAATATATAAATAAAATGTATATTATGGGGTTCTATTAATTAGTTTTCATTGGTCTTTCCTGAATTACATGTTCATCGACATTAGAAACAAATCTTTCAATAAACCTTATGGTTCATATTTAAAATATTGTACATTTATGCATTTCCATCCTGTGGAATCAAGCAATCTCTAAGCAACTGCTTGCAAAGAAAATGGTAGTATATGAAGGGGCTTAAATGAACATATATACCTAAATAATGCTCAATTTATGACACTCATATATAGGTCAAATTAGAAGTAGTGTTTGTCCATTAATAAAGTTCCCTGTTAAAAAAATGTCCTACAAAACTAATTTATTCCCAAAAGCTGTGATAGCATTTCTGGAGAATTCAAAGATTTAAACTAAAGAACATAGTCACAACAGAGTCTCAAAAGGAACCTCTCAAAGAAAAGAAAACCAACAAAAGAGAAAAAAATTAGTTATCTTAGCATTCATGGAAGCTAGGAAATTTGCAGAGAACTTTCTCTGACTCTATTCAACAGGCATGCAGTGTCTATTTCACTCAATCAAATGCCTAGAAATCCATTCAAGGAGCAACCAAAGCACACAGACTACAAAAAGGCCTAGAGGAAGATTTTCTTTTGGAGATAGTGTAGTAAGAAGGGTGTAACTAGCACCCTTTTTTACCAAATCATCGTGTTGGAAGCTTATAACAAGTACAAAATTAGAATGATGAAAGCATTTAATTCATATGACAGACTTGAAAATACATGGCAAAGTGATTTCCAAAATCAGCAAGGTCACACCTTTCTCAGCTGTGGCCACAGAACTTCTCTCTTGCCTTTAATTTTGAAAAAGTCCCACAAAATTTAAAAGAGAATGAAGAAGCCTTCACAAAAAAAAAATAATTTTGTTTAATGACTGGCCCTTTTCAGATAATAATTTGTGACACAAAGGGTTGTAAAGATGCAAAAGGATCATTTGATACAGATTTTTAAGTTCTTAAGTTTTGCAAAGCTAAGGATTATGACAAAGCCTAGAGACATACACACACACACACTTTCCTCAGTTCTGAACTTCCCCAATGAGAAATTTAACAAAATAACTCAGTTTTATAAGGGCCAAAATGGAGAAAGAATATTGACCTTAAAATGCCTTGGTCAGGAGTCATCAGAAGGAAAATAAATCTAACACAGAGTTTTTAGGCTGGCACTAGGTAAGTAGTTCATTCTCTGGCAATGTAGATATACCTGAGCTGTCAGGCGCCTAGAAAAACATGACCCCACTCAATTTCAATTTCTATTATTTCAAATGATGCTGGGTTTATTTGGTTGAAGTTTCAATTATGTTAATTTCCATTACAGGAAAGTACAAGAGGCGCTCCTAGTAATGATCTAATTAGTCCCTGTCACAAAAAGTACATTATTTAACAATGATAGTCATAAATACATTAAAGGTGCATTTTATTTTGAGAGGAGAAACATCTCTTCATCTCTAGTTTGAATCTCTTGCAATTTCTCTGAGTATGTAATGATTTTTAATAGGCAAAATGCAATCTTTTTCTTTTTGCTAATGTATCAACCATCTAATGAAACATTTAAATATATTACTTACAGGTGGTTACAGTGGGGATTCCTTTCCACTGTAACACATTCCAATGCAGTACTTTCTTTTTTCTAATATACTCTAGAAATTCACAAAACTGTGAATCATTTAAGCCTGGATTGTAATATGACGTGTCCTAGTTGCTTCATCATAAATAAACCAGCAGAGTTCAGTTTTTCTGTGGTAAACTTCAATAAGGGTTAAGAATTAATTACACACCATATGCTTTGTATAAGATTCTACACCCAAAAAATTCAACTAGAAATAGGATCTTAGTTCCTCAGTTTCCAGAGCGCCTTTCTGAAATTCAATCTTCAAACACAGGCTTCAACCAAGGTTGCACAGGCTTCTCTTGCACCATGCTATTTCTCCCATAGTTTGTATTTTTCAAGCATTGGAAAGTTTCATATGTTTTACAAGGCTAACTGTTTTAATTACAATGGAAACTGTTTCTAAATCTGTTCATTTCAATAGATGCTATTCTTAGAGTATTTTAGCTGACCTTAAGAATCTTTCACCCTGGTACAGGAAGCAATATACCATAAGTCATAAAACAGCATAAAACTCTAGCATTTGTTGTTCGAACTATGATTTTCTTCATACTTCTTAGTAGGAAGAATTTTTACAATTGATTTCATGATAATTAAGTTTAAAAAGCAAAATGCAATTTAATGGAATTTAAAATGCTGCACTTACTGGAATACTTTATTTGTCACAAGGTCTAGGGGTTTAGAATTGACTAATAGACAGAGATGATGATAAATCAATGTAGCAGAGTTAATTTCTTAGAGTTGAATTGGATTTAGTCATTCAACCCTCAGAATAATGAAATTGCATGGCCAAATCCTGTGCTTCTCAGAGAATGTAGGGATAAGAGAACTCAGCTTTTTTTTTTTTTTTGAGAAAGAGACTATCTAATGGTATTGAAAAAATAAACCTGTGTAAGTCACAGCAGTTTAATTCATCATCTTCCTGTTCCATTGAAATTTCAATTAAAACCACAGTTTATAATGTCCCACACACAGAATTAATTTATTTTATTGGACAATCTAAAAGTATTTGTGACTTGTTAGTGTATGAACTTCAGAATACATCTAGAGAGATGTTGTAAACAATAAATTAGCTGCTTCCCTAAAAAAAAATCCTAAGAATTCCCAAAGTAAAGTCTTTCAAACACTTCAAAAACCAAGTAAAATATTTTTTTGCCACTAGTAATAATATTTTCATTTTGGTCTTGTATGTAGTTTGCATTAGTGAATCAAAAAAAATCATTATGTGTCTTGCCGTACTCACAGTAGAAACTAATTTAAAATTGAGCCTTAAAATTTCATTATAATGTTTCCTAAGTTCCCTGTATGTAGAAATGTATATGCCTGTTTTATCTTCCAAGTTTACACATTTCTGTCTAATTAGTACAATGAATCCTAGCAGTCAGTTGCACTGTCAGAGCTACTTGTGTTATGCTTTGCTTATTTTTATTTATATTAGTTAAAGACACTCATAATAGAACTCTGGCCAAGCCAAAATAATCCCTCCCTCCACACCCCTGCAGCGCTAACCCAAATCTACACAACCTTTGGCTAGCCAGAACAGATGAGCATGTGGGAAGTTCTGCTGAGTATGATTCAGTGGCACTCTTTTGGGGGATTACTTATGTAAAAAGTGAAACATAAGTGTGTATAATATCCCTCTTCTGTGGACAGCTATAAGGGCCATGGTAGATGAGATGTGAAGAGCTGCTTTAACGAAGAAGGAATCCACGTGGGTGTTTTGGTCATTTAAGGTCTCTATGCAAACCTCCCCTGTGTGAAATGCATTTTATACAGCCACCTGCACCCAGTGGGAATCATTTCTGTGTTACAAGGACTGTCATATCTCAGCTCTCCAAGTCACTCCTGTATTAAGTTACATAAGAGGTTTGTAATATATTTTTGGTGAAAGGACACATACTTAACTACAATGGATTTTGTTAGTGATGGTATAATTATACCTTTTTGTAAGCATGCCTGCAAACTTCATATTAAAACTTTTCAGAAGGGCACTTTTTAATGTACTTTATTAGAGCCAGAAACATTTCTACATTATAATAGGAAATGCATCTCTGCTGCAGCCCCTAAGTTTTTGAGGATTTTGCCGGTCAGTGTTTCTTCACTTATCCTAATTGAAAATACTGTAATAAACACATGTAAATAATCAAACACATGCACCAAACACCCTCTAGCCTCAAGTACTACAGGTCAAAATTTTTTGTCATTTATATTTCTATTTCTTTATCCCTAGGCTTTATACTGGAAACTGCATTCCTTCTCATTTGACATGCAGATTATAAAGATTACTCTCTTTCTCCAGCACTTTTTAGATGCCTCCAGTTATGATTTAATTGCCTTTATTCCTCCTCTTCTCTTTGGGTTCATAGCCTAGAACAGGCTTGGTAATCAATGCTTTAGAATAAGCCATCAGCTTCCAGTATGAGAAATTCTTATAACTGCACCAGTCTTGGCATACTCTTGAGCACCAGCTTACAAGCAAATGCTGCAACAGATACAAGAAATTAATATGCCTTCATATCCTATTAGGAAACATAAAGCTCAAATATCATATTTCATCCATTTGTGTTCAGGAAATGAGAAGCATCAGTGCATCACACCCATGTGTAATTGTGCACCGCATCCATTATAATTCCTCCATAGATAAATCTTAATAAAACACACACCATCATTCAGGAGTTGCCATGTTACCTGTCTGTGATGTTTCTAGAGTTCAGCTAGCCTTGCCATACACATTCCTGCCACATTACATTCCAAGAATATTTAATTCCCACTCAATAGTTTCTTGGGGGAAGGGGAGGAATGGAATAATAGTTTACAAATAATCCCTTACTAAAAGCACCCACTGTGGTTGAAGTTCTTTTCTTCTAGGTGGTATAGAAAAATTTTCCATTTCAAGTAGAGGAGATTACACATAATAGGCCTTTTCTGCTTTTTTGTGTCCATCAGTCAAAGAGGGACTGCAGTTTGTTGAAGTAGGCTGGTTAATGTTCTGCTGTCATTAAAAGAACCATAACAGTGTGATCGTACATTTGGAAAAAAACCACAAGCATCTTTGCTATCATTTTCTAAGTGGAAGCTCTGTAACTGCTAGATTCCATCATTACTGCAGCTACTAACACTGAAAATTTGTTAAAGTTGTGTATGGGGATGAATTCATCCAACATCAAGTTTTAATAATTCACTATGAAGTACCTGCTACTAACACAGAAACAGTTCAAGTGCTCAAAAAAGCCTTTCAGATTCTAGGAAAGATGAAAATTTTATTCCTTGGCAAGAATAATTTTTCACCTCAGTCAGGACTGACAGCTGTAATTCCTGTTCCTCAAAGGCAGAAGCAGTAGCATAGCATCCCTGAAGCAAGGAGGAAATTAAATGGACTTTGGCACATGCACATATTTCATAAGATTTGCATGGAAAACTATGATTTTGCCTTTTTGTCTGTACCGATTCCAGCCAGGAAAAGGTTAATATTTTGCAGTAGCTGGGACCCAAATATTATTCAATAACACCTCGAGTCATTTCCTGTGTTGGCAGAAAGGGAATCTCTCTCCCTTTCAAAAGTGTTCCTTCTGGTTGAATAAATGGGCAAAGTGTGGGAGCCATCCCATGTTGTTCTTTGTCCTGGCATCCCAGAATGTGCTGAGCATTTTTGCACATGAATCACTCTCTCTTGTACACTTCTGTTATTCTATTTGTTCTCTTATCTCATTAATGTTTCCCGTAATTTGATCTTATCTAGACTTGTGTTCTTCATAGTTTCCGCCTCCAATTCTCTCCTCTGTGCCGCCACAGCAGAAAGGGGAGGGGAAGGGGGAAAGAACATGCAGAGCTGGGAGAGTGTTCATGGTAGCCCTGAACTGCGGAATACCACAAACCAAACTGTGAGAGAAGATCAGATCCTGGAGGAGTTGGTCATGCTTGGTGCCCTCATCAGCAAAGGTGATAACAAGCACTAGTCTAGATGATCTGCAAGCTCAAAATAATCAGCTGTGTCAAAGTTTGTCAGATCTGACACTTCTCTTATCAAGCGTGAAGCATACGAGCACATTTGTCCTGAAATACACAGAGGAGTTTTCTCATATTGATGAACTCATAAAGGTGCTGATGCATACATCAGCAATAATAAATGGGTCAGCATAATAAAATTCTTAGTACTGACAGGGAAACATAATGATGATGCAAAATGCAAACACATTAAAATCATACTATATTGTCCTATCTTAGGTTTTTGCTTCTCTTCACAGAAAACATTAAAGAGAAAGAAAATTTACAACAGTGTATATATTTCAATTAATAAATTTAAAATTTCTTTTCTTCAACATACAATCTTGCCATTCATAGCAAGACAAAATATCATGGAATACTAATGTAACCTTCCTGTATTCACTAGAATTTATTTCTTTTCTATATTTAAACTCATTTTTTGTTGTGATAAGACATACATTCAACACATTCTTCTGCTCTACTGTAGTTTCACAGAACTTATAGTTACTGATGTATTCAATGTAAAAAAATTAGCAATATTTGACATTTAACTTCTTTTGCTTGATCTCAAATTAGTCATATGTTTATTTAATCTACTGAATATACTAATATTCAACCTTGTCATTTTTTCTTTTAAAAACCCTAACCTTGACCACTTTTCCCTAAATAATAGGTAAGGTGAACTGTTCGTTTATTTTTCTATATTTACAGAAAACTCAAAATTCTGAAGTATATTTACACAGAGACAATCAAAACAATCCACAACTGAAGTCCTAGCAATTATTTTAGTGCAAATGTATTACCAAAATTAATTTTAACACGAACCACTAAAAATGCACCCTTTGTTAAATAGTATGTTTGAGAACAGTAGCTTACAAATTTAGATGAAGAGTGAGGTGACTTCTAAACAAAACTTTTCCAGATTGTCAAGAAAGACTGACTAAAGCCAGAGGGGAAGAAAACATCATTTGAACAATGCTCAGTAAGAACAATTGCATTATTGAATTGCAATTGCATATTGAAGACAAACCTTATTTAAAGTCCCAGTTCAGCCACTACCCCTGACACTGCCAAGCTGTGTGCCCCAGGCTTTCATCTCAGTGTTCATTTAAGAATTAGAAACAGTTTTCAAATAATTTTTTTATTTCTTCATATTCAAAAATAATAAATTTATTTTGGTTTCCTATATGCCTATATGGGCTCTTCATGGACACTACACAAACATTAAAGATCAAAAACATGATTTGGAACACCCTGGAGGCACATTATAACACAAATAATGTACCTTGTTCAAAGTCTTTTTGCCACATTTTTCTAACAATGAACACTGGAAATGTTTACAATTATCACATGTCCTTTCAGCACCACATTTTTTTAACAAGAGAGAAGAAAATGCATCTACTTGTCTTCCTTCACTTTTCTTGCCTTTTTTTCTAATTTTAATGATTTAGGTATTAAATTGACAGGTACTAGTAAACAACACAACTCTAAGCTGGTATTTTATTGTTCACCATTTCAGGAGACTTTTTGGAAGTTTTGGGTGCTGGGATATTTTTTAACATTTCATCAGTCAACACAGTTACCCAGATAAATTACTCAAATACCAAACACACAAACAAATTTATCAGCTGCCCACTTTCAGAACTGGAGTTTTCAGTAACCATTTCTCAGACAAAATCTTAAGGAGTCAAGAATATTGTAAATTATTTTTTCCTTTCACTCAGAAGTTTAATGTCAGTTCTTTCAAATGCAGGGGCCAAAAAATTGTCACTACTGGTTTGGGTTTTGCTGTTTCCTTCAGACATATGAGGCTTTTTCTAGTCATGAAAAATATGCCATAATACTTTAGAGATTGTAATTTTAAAACTGTACATACATGAAAATGTCAACAACATTGCTACACAGAACACAACTATGGATACAGTCAGAAAATGCTTATTTTACTGTTTCAAAAAAAAAAAAAAAAAATTTTGAGATCATAGTGTCTCTTTCCATCTTCAGCTCAAAACTTCATTTTATTCAATTATTATCACATCTGATCAATTTAAAGTGAAATATATTCTCAAAGCCAATTATGTTCCCAAAAGTTTTCTTGAAAATTCTATTAATAGGAAGGAAGAGGATACAATTAATGCTTTCACATTGAAAAAGACTGACGGAACTCTGACATTACACACAACATCAACTGTCTGGTCAAGTAGTTTGAGCCCAATTGCTCGTCATTTAGCATGTACATAACTCAATATTAACTGTCTTATTACACCTCTTGTCCACAAATATTAGCATTACAGCAGTGAGGATGGAAAGTATTCAGATCTATAAAAAGAAGCCATCATCAGTTGAACTGTTCTTCAAACAGTCTTGTTCAATGCTTACTCCTATACTTAAAAAAAACCAACCTAATATTTAACTTTCCCTGTCAGAACTGTAGATTTAATAAAATATAAAAAAATTCATTTGCAGATACCTTGATATTTTTTAAAAAATATTTGCAGATACCTTGATATTTTTATGTTGCAGCCAACTGAGGATTTGCTGATAGAGATAAAAGTGTCAGTTACTCTGCAATGCCATAAAATAATAAATGCAGTACATTATACTGGATGTGGAAGGTGATTGATAATTACTTGCCATCCTGTTGTGTAAGTTCCCAAGTCAGTGATTTTTAATAGATACATAAGTGATTCAGCATTCATATTTAGGTACCATGAAGTCCCTGTAGACTTCAAAGTTCACAGATTCACAGATTTTCAATAATACTATTATTTATTTTGTTCAGAAGTTATTTTGTAGCAGCTTGGGGAATTATATAAGTTTCTTTCTAAAAATATATAAGTCTTTCTAAAAATACTGTGATACAGCTGCTTCATGAGCACCTTTGAATTTCCTATTTCATCCAACTGGTTGCTGTAATTGTCACTTAATAATAAACTTTCTCCAATATTCAATAGTTGTGAAAGTAATTGATTCCATTGAGGAACATTGATGTGCAAAGAAGGGTCAGATTTTAGACATTATCCTAGTAAAATAATCCTAGGGGAAAAAAAAGGGATAGAAGTAGGAAAACAACTACACAAGCATCACTGCAAATAAGGGTTCCACCTATTTGTCTGTCAATATTAATATTAACCTCATTGCTACACAAGTTATTTTCCTATAGCAATGAAGTTGGTGTTTGCAGCTATTCATGTATCTGGGGAGTACTTGCCAGTCCTTGTGCAGTCCTGGAAAAGAAAGCCAAAATTATGGAAAATTCTAATTCTTCATAATGCCTCCCAGCATTAATTGCATTTAATAGAGACAATGAAAATTCAGTTCACCTGAATAGGAAAATATGGTGCATTTAAACCTTCCCTTGGTATCCAATCAAAATAAAACATTCTTTATACGATCAGGAAGTTAATTGTGGTCTTAGTTATTTCCAAAGGATCATTGAGGTTGACAGTGACCTCTGGAGATCATCTAGTCTTAGTTCCCTGTTCAAATTAGGATCACTTACAGCTGGCTGCTCAGGAACACAGCCAGTCAGTTTTCAAATATTTCTAGAGATGCTGACAGACTCCACCTCCTCCATCAAACTGTTCAAGTCTTTGACTACCTTCAGAATTAAAAAGTTGTTTCTTAGATTAAAACAGGATTTTCTCTATTTCAATTTGTTCCTATTGTTGAACACAGCACTTCATCTGCAGTCCCACCAGCCCTGAGGGGAAGAATCACCTCCCCTGACCTGTTGTTTACAGTGTTCATATAAACTCAGTACCAGAGCATGTTAAGTCTGCAGCAGGAGGAATCAAGCAAGAATGCTCAATTCATGTACAAGCATTCTAATATTTAGTAACTAAAGTCTTTCCAAGACAATCTGTAACATAACATAATTGATCTCTCATCTGACTCTAATATTCTATGCACCAAAAGAAAAAATATCCTTCATATTTGTGGGCTTCCTCTTAGTCACACCTTAAAAGACATTTGCTCCACTGAAAATGTGGATCCAGCATCCAAATTTCTCATTAAAAATACCTCATCAGAATATAAAATAAAAGATTAGCTTGTGATTAATATGTGCTTTTTTTGCCGACAATAAAATTTTATTACATGGAGTGGAAGCATGGAATAAAAAGTACCTGAATATGAGAAATAAATAAAATGTTATTACTAGGCATTTGCATATCCCTATGACATTTCATGAAAACCTAGCTGCAAGAGGTACAAACAGATAGATGGTACAAAAAAAAACCCCATACAGAGGTCATCATTCCAGCAACCCTTATTCTAAGATGAATTTTAAAAGTTAAATTGCACATTATCCTGACTTCATAAATCTGCATATTAAATACATTATGAATACATTAAATTAATAGTTAACCCTGAAATTTCAAAAATTTACCTGTTCTGCAGACTTGAGCTAACATATTAAATTTACAATACTGAAACTGTTTCAAAGGTCCACAAACTGTATTAGCAACAACTTCCAGGTTAAAACTTTATTCTTGCTTGTTCTTATTCTGCAATAGTGGGGGTATCCAGTCACTGTACTTCATCTCAGCTGGTTCCCAGTGACTTGGGGCAGAAGCAGAACACACAGTTACACAGAGCACAAACTGATTAATATTTAAGATCCAAAGCCTTAAGTGAAATAAAGTGTTTCAGACATGCAGTTGCAGTTTAGAAATGCAGACTGCAACCTGCACTGGCACAGTGATAAATTTGTTTCCTTCTTCCTTCAGTCCTACACATTGCAACATGCTGGAGTTGAGCAGCCACAACACCATTCCTGCACACTTTGTCCTGGTTTGTGCCTGTCTCCACCCAGAAAACACATGCAGAGCACCACATCAGCAAAGCAAGAGACCTGAGGCCACAAGATGAGCGCATTGCCCCGTGCCTTCATGGCAGCAGCAGTGCCATGTTGTGTTACTGCACTTGGGAACCTGATTTCAGCAGTGCTATCTTGACAAGAACAGAGTAAGGCATGGACAGAGATGGGGACAAAGTTACAGGGGGGATTACTGATCCTGAAATGCTTGTCTCAGCTCTATGATCAGTTAGATAAGATTAAAACATATTTTTCAACTCCTTCCACAACCTAGAGTTCTACTACCACAAAGAGAAAGTAATGAAAAGTAAACAAAATTATGCAATCTTCATTCCTATAACAGAGACAATTCTTTCTGTTTAGAAAATTAAGAAGCATAGACAGTTCTGGTATGTCCCAAAATTATTTCTTTTTGCTTTTCATTCTGAAAGGTCTTATTTATACACACTGGAAAACAATTATATATAACCATTTTGTGTTGTTTGTCACGGGTACTTACAGGTAATCATCAAGAGATCTAGTGTATAAGGCATACACAGAGCTCACAGGCTGGTGGTTCGCATTTAAGTTGGTTCATTCCTGCCAAGCACACATGACAATAATTATTATTTCTAAGTGTGGATGAAGCATTAAAATTGCAGACACAGAGCTCTAAATACCAGGGCTTCCTACAGCTGGTATGTAGGAGACCAAAGGTAGTTGGATGATTGAATGACCAAAGCCAAGTCCTCCATCTTATCTTTTGCTACTTTTTGCCTCTCCCATACATCAACATATGTAGAAATGAAAGCAAGAATATAAATGGTAAGACGAGTAGGAAATGTCAAAATCTGATCTAGCTTTTTATCCTCTCCCAGTAGAAGCCATATAAGAACATTGTTCAGGATGTATCATTGTATTCTGCCTCACATGACCATGAAAGCACCAAGACAGTTATAAGAAAAATTTTCATGGTGCTTCGCCTTAGTCTTTAACATTAACGTTGAAAACCATGAACACCAAATATTACAGAAAAAATATGTTTAAAGAAGGTTCTATGCTAATATTTCTTTAAAATCTTCAAAAACACTATGAAAGTCTTTTCAAAACAAGGCCCTTTCTTCCAGAACAAGCAAAACAAGCCTGAAACACATGTGAGAGATGCTTTGCCAGAATCAAAAATCCCATTGGAACTTTAGATGGGGAATTCTGTTTTAAGTCTGAAAAACCTCACACACTTGAGTGAGTTCTGAGTAAAATGAAATCTTCTGCTTCTGTGTGTATCTATGTGGCTTATCTTTATCAGCCACACCTCACTCTTTGAATTTCATCAAGCTTGAATTAACTGGCATTCCATTAAATGCCTAGGATTTTCAAAGTATTCCCCAATCAGACCACATTAGACTAACCTGGTGTGGTCAAATATGCTCTTCTGTTATTATTTCCACATACTGCACCACTCCACTCCATATTAATTGAGTGATAAACATAAACATAGCCAAATATGAACCCAAACTCCTGCAGTCAGTTAATTAAGCATGTCAACTAAGACCGAAATATGTATGACATTTTGACCTTTGCTATCAAACTTTCCTTCCTTTTTCCTTCATAAAAACAGCACTAATAAAATAATTTTTTTAAAAAATCAATAAGAATAGAGAGAGCTGTAATGTTTTGTACTTCCATTTTATATGCTCCTAACTGCAGCCAGCTGACTGCTATTTTGTGAGTGGGCAGCTGACAGTTCCCTAGCAACAGATTAATTGATTGCAGCTTTAAATCCACCTCCTTCAACTCATTTTTCCTATTCCTCACTTTTGAGTGTATACACACACATCTGCCAAGTAAAAGATAGCACATAGAAATCTAAAGAACAAAGGGAGAAGGATCTGATAGCAATTATTTCCAGGAGTGTTTTAAATTTCAGAAAAAAAATATATTGTAGTGTCAGGATGCAAAACTCATTAAAAATTATTTCAACATACTTTCAGTCATGTTATGTTCATGCTATTCTTTAATAAAGAGATCAATAAATCTTTTCATTCCCTTTCATAGGAATGAACACTGATTAATTCAGTGTTTTTATATATAAAATTTTACCTAACTCGTAATGTCAGAGGCTATAATAGAAAAAAGAAATTTAGAGATAAAAGGCTGAATCTCATAAAATAGGTCCAAGAGTTAATCTCCACTCATATAACAATAATGTCTGCCTTAATAACTTATTATTAAGAAAGCATAGGGAATTTTTGCTGCATTTGTTTTAGAGCTAGCTATCTTCTATATATTTTATCAAAGGGAAATATTTTCAGTGCTAAAATAGTAAATAGGTGTGAAAATGGTCACAGGTAGGTTTCCAGGCCCTAAATCCAGTGATGCTCACCCAAAACCCCTGCTAAACTCAATTTCATAAACTTTCTAGCTGCTGCAGCTTCTGACTTAAATGCTTGACACTTGAGGCAGAAACAAGTATCAGGTTGCTGTTTCAAGTAAATTGTGGGGTCTTAGGTATTATTAAAGAAGAAGAGTGAGTGTAAATTGAGAGCAAGAAGGAATGAGTCCGGGACTGGTAGGGAAAAGAGCTCTAAGGAAAGCTTTGTGTATTGCTTCTCTTATGCTGGAAGCACTCTCTGCAATTTCTCTGGGAAATTGTGATTCCTTCTATTAAGAGAAAATGGAGGGAATTGTCATGTTATTAATCTCCAATAGGCAAGATCAATACATGGCAGTCTCAACGCAGTAATTATTAATCTGAATACAGGGCTCTTCCCCTTTCTAATAGCAGAGATGCCTTTTTGTCTTATGGAAACATGCAAACACACAAGAATGCCAGAGCCATCAAGGTATCCTGGTTTAGGTAGAATTATGGTCTTTTTCTTTCCATTTGAAGTGGTTCAAAGTTTTTTAGTCAGTAGCAAAGCTCAACAATTTCCCTTGCCTGCAAGAACAGTTATGACTTTCTGCTTAAAGAGTTCTGTAAAGCTGATCAGAAACAGGAGAGGTGAATTCTGTTTCCTTCCAGTTACTTCAATATTTAAATGAAAAAATTTTCATGTTAAATGTATAAACAGGCCTGGGACCATGGAAATCAATGCTCTGCACTTATATCCATAGCTACTAGACTCCAAGTCAGGCACTGCATACTAAATTTCTGCTTCCCTGATCATCCCCATCACCAGAGACTATATTTCTTGCTGTATCACTATATCTGTAGAAAACTTAGAATTCTTCACTCTGCAAGGAGGAATTAGTTTTGCAATTTTGGCTTAGGGTAATCTAACATTTAAGTCCATATTAGATCTGTCCTTAAAATATTAAGTTCTGAGACAGACTGAGCTGGAAGAAATTTGAAGCTTTGTAAATTTAATTTGTAAGATACGTAGCAATAGTTTGAACTAACTGCACAACTGCTCACCTACGGGATTTATTCTGAAAGTTTGGCCTAGACATGTGAAAAGTATTTAACTTCAGACATTTTTCCACATGTAAGAAACATAAACATAAGTTTTCAAATGCTAAGCATCTGAAGATAATGCTGTAATGTTTCCCTTCTAATTTAAAGAACCTGCATATAAATCTCTTCCCTACTTGCAACATCCTACCCTTTTTTTCCCTACTCTTATTGACAAAATAAATACATTTTTTAAGTTTTTTTACATTATTCACTGGATGTGACATAAAAGTGACTTGGATACTCATTCTCTTCTTTTTTTTAAGAAAAGGTATTCCCACTGCGAAGCTGCTAGCATGATCTTGGAAGTAAACCTTGGCACATGAATCATAATATTTTCAAACATTTATTTTAGCATCTTGGCAGAGAAGAAACTCCTACAATCACACTGTAGCAAACAAATACATATCATAGATTAGAGATGTATGAAAATAGTAGATAAATGGTCAATGTATTTGATGTACACTGCAAGTGTCTAATTTAAACATAAATTTAGACATTATAGGAGTAATTAGAAAGGATATATATACATGTTACCTACCTTCATTTTAAAATATAGAAGACACATCTTAAGGAGAAAGAATTCCCATACTTACGTTCCATTTCACCCAACAACATGGAATGTTTATCTCTCAAATGGTCCTTATCATAAAAGGAATTAATTAGTTCTAAGATCAATGTGGCACACAAATCAACTCATTTTTATCACTCTCCATTCTGTAAATTGAAAATTAAGAAAAATCATATTGAAGATACAGAGAGACTTCCTGACAGAGGTAGGATGTCTAGAATATTATGTCTACTGCATCTTTTTACCAAAAATTTTAGTCTTAAGTGAAATACTTACACAACATATTTTGACATTTGGAAGTTTGCCCTATATTTTCTGAAGAGCTTCCTTGGCCTTGCATGGAAATTTTGAGCAGAAATTTTATTACCAATATTTCATATATGGAGAAAGGATCTCCTTGAATTTCTGTGAGCCTGCACTACCTGTGATAATTACTTTTTCCAAAAATTACCTCTCATGTGCCAAGCATATTAACTTCTTTTTCTTTACAAGTATCATATTAGTCACATACAGCAAAGAGGAATTTGTGCCTTCATTCCACCACCACCCACCCTGCTCCCTTAAGAGAATCCTTCCTCTTAGATAACTACCATAATCACTGTGCTATTATGCCAGTCATGAACAATTACATATTCTGCCTCCCTAGTCAAATAAATTTTGTAAGTATTTTATGCAAAGCAGACAATCACCAGCTGAAGAAGTTAAGCATGACACACATAGAGGTAGCCTCATTGGACAAAGTTTTAGAGAATTACTCTGTATATTTTATGGCAGAAATTGTTAATTCTTACTGACTTGAAATGTTTGTAAGACAGCCATGTAACTATTTCAATAATTTTAAACCAAGATTCTCTAGGAACTTTCAGTCATGAAATTATATTTGCCTGATTATTGTCATTTTCTGTTTCCATTTTTGTTATAACTTTAAGCCAAATAGTCCATCTGGCATTTTCTCTCACTTGTCATTTTTTAAGTTATAAAAATACAGTATATTTTAAAATTCTAGATAATCAGTTTTATTTTCTCACATAAGTACTGAACATAAGAACTCAAATACTTTTACAGAATATTTTATGAAAAAAACCTCTTTTACTACATCTGAGGTCTGCATCTGGACTCTGTTTCAGTATCTTAGTGAGTCCCTGCTGACAATAATGGTCAGAGAGGAGCAGTGCACTGGGCTTGAACATAAATGGATGTTTCACAAAATCACCTTTTGAAATATCCAAGTAGTTAGTACAGGGGACTTACCTACATCTCTCCTATGGGAATCAGCATGTGTATTCTGTGTAAGAGACAAAGAGGCTTAACTTTTACTTCATATGTTCTTCAGTCTGTAGTCTGCCTGCTTCAAAAAATAATAATAATAATTGCAGAATGTATTCAACAGACTGGTGAGCACCTCCACGAGCACAATCAACATGAGCTGAGAGGGTCTCACTTTACTTCATGAATAGACTTACATTACATCTTGTGAAATTACTGAGCAGCTGTTAGAGAGAAAAGAAAACATGATCAGTATTCTTTTGTAGGGACTTACTGAGGCCCAATCATCAAATACACATGGTAAATAGAAATGGAGTCTTGAATAGGTGATAAGCAATCAACTACAAACAAAAGTGGGACACTGTGACCTTACATTCAGCTTGAGCAGTAAATTAACATATCTGTGCAGCATACCAGGAAATTAAGAGGACAATGAGGACAAAATAAATTTAAAATCAGCCATAGGCTACATAAATCCAAAATACCTAATATAGTCTAATTACAGTATATTTTAAATCCTACATACCCAACTTTGGCCATTTAATCTTTTCACCAGCAACCAGGATTGTTAAGTTTGCAAGATTTAACTTATATGATTAAATAAGGCATATGACATGGTCTAATCATGAAGCAGTTGCCTGAAGACAGATGAGTCAGAAAATGAGCTCAATTAACTTGATTTAACCCTTCTATTACATACAGTGCCAACACCTCTTCTGTCCTGCCTACCCCTCTTCAAGAGCCTGCAACCATCTGGCAGGGCACTCCAGTCACAGGACTCATCCCACCAGCTTTCACTTATGCCAATGATGTCAAATCTCTGGGAGTGGCCCAAAGGTTCCAGTTCCTCTTGTTTGTTCCTCATGCTGCAGGCATTAGTGTAGAAACATTTCAGGTGTGGTACTTCGTAGCCAACACCTGGTGAAGCAGATTGAGGGATCCCATTAGTGCTCATTTCCTCCAGTTTTGGCATCCCATTGTACATCACTGGAGAGCCTGGTTTTGCCTTTTTCCCCTTCTACTCTTTGGCAATACAATATAAAATTATAAGTAATTACATAATGCAGAATTTATACATTATGCATTTCCAGTCATAGATAATTGCAGATTTCCACAAAGAAATTTAATGTAAAAGGAGAAAAAACTAGTGGGCATTTGCCTAGATTTCTTTATGTTCTAGACTGGTCCATAGATGCACTGACTGATCAGTGCTGCAGACTATGCAGATGTAAAGGATGTCTGAGAGGCTTAGGCTGTTTCACACTCATGGTGAAATCTATGCTACATCCCACATTCTTACAAATTTGTCATTGGAACTAGTGAGACCACTAACTCCTGCCATAAAGAAAAGAATCAGCAAGAAATCACCTAATTTTCAGTTTATTAGTAAAGTTTTCTAAATCTATTTAGATAATTTAGATACTTCATGCCATGCATATTAAACCAAGGTAAAACATGAGTTGGAGGTCAAAAAAGGTAATGCAGAGGAAATTCTTGCACAATGATGAGAGCCTGTCAGTGTCTTTAGTTAGGTATCAGCACAGTCTAATGAAGACCACTCCATTTACATTAATGGACCTACACCAGCTCAGACAAGTGAACTTGTGTCATGCTACTATTTTTCTACTTGCAATGACATTCATCTATGTCTCTTTTGTTTGTTCATACAGTTACTTTGTCATGCTTTTTTAAGAATAAGGAACAAATGCACAACAGACTTGATACCTTTCCTCAGGATACAGGTGCTTCATAATAATGTGTTCTAAAAGGCAACGTTTGTTTGCAATTGTAGAGTGTGAAGAAAAGAAAAGCCACAAAATCACAGAATATTCTGAATTGGAAGGAACCCACAAAGATCTATGAACAAATTACAAAAATTTTGCTGAAGTCAAGTGTAGGAGTTATTACTGGCACCTGCTTTCATTCTCAAGTCATAAGAATGAAAGTCAGTAATAATATGATTTAATACCTTTAATAATAGTATCATTTTAGTGATAAGGGTCAACAGACAGGAATTAGACAAAATTTACAGAGGCAGGAAGTTTCTTCTACAGGGTTAACTGTATCAGCTGGAGAAACAAAATCAAATCAGCTCTTGAGCATGCCAGCTCTTCTCCTGGTCTTCTTAAAACATATCACATTTCAAGCATATTGGTTCAGAATCTCATTCACTGTTGGAATGAGCAAGCAGCTCACTCTTTTTCCAGGGTCTAGAAACTAGTCCTCATATTTCACATAAATCTGAAAGTGAGAACTGAATATTTAAATTTCTCTATTTCTTTAGTGAGCTGCTACACAAAAGTACAAAATTAGAGAGGAACAGAACTTCAATGATATTTCCTCTGCTTGTAACCTTGTTGACTCTCAACTTGTTTTGTGCTTCACCGCTTCAATAAAGGGCAAACTGAAGTACCACTACATGCATGTGCACATGCATGTGTGCACACCTACAGACATTTTCACCATTTATTTTGAGAACGTACGTTGCTCTCAGGCTAAATCATAAGCAGGATGTTCCTTGCCTTCTCAATTTAAGGGATATAATGAAAGAGCTTTTAGGATAATGAACTGTCCTGTACCAGAAAATAGGGTTCATTCTTTTAGATGCATTACCTTCCACACCAGTACCTAATGAACAAAATTGTTTGAGTGGATGGAAGTCAAATTGTAAGGATAAGAGGTCTTTTTATGTGTACACCTGGAAAAGAAATACTCCGTTATGGATTTTTAATCACTCTGTGATCATATGACTATAATGCATCCCTGGAATAGTATTCTAGGGATGCATTTTAGCTTAAATGTTCCACCCAAAATGCTGTGCAAATGGCCTTTTTTTCTCTTGGTATTAAATTCCTCTTTTTCTGATTGGCAATAAATAGACAGCACAGAACTCTCAATAACTGGTTTGATTTCTAAGCTTTTTATCATATAAGCTATAATAAATTACTCCTTGTGACATAAAGCACACCATATATTTCCTGTGAAGCTGCTGGAAAATGTAAATGCACCATTACTTCAGCCACATTCTCTTTGCAAATCAAACACTGCACCTGATAGTTTGTAAATTTCTTCAGAGTTACAAAAATGTCACAGTTATATCAAGAGCTGCCCAAAACTTGTGAACTTGAAGTTATCGTAACCAAAAAACATAGATTTTGATTAAAAATGCAATTTTTAATGAAATGTTATTTTGTTCAGAGAGAAAACCTAAGGTTATAAATTAAAATTTAAAAGGTTCATTCCAATATTTACATAATGAACGACTTTGATGTTGTTCAGACATGCTCAACAAAGTGTGCCTGCTGTGTTCAATTCCATTTCGAATATGCAATAAATTAAAACGATGCAGTCTGCTGTTGTGAATGCAGTCCTTGGTTTGACCTGGAGATTCCTCTAAAACATCAGCAGCATTATCAATAACACCATTTTTACCTTTGATCATATAAAAGCATACCACTGGAAGTTTCTTTCTGAGATTTTTGGAAGGCTATAGCCATCTGAAATGCCATCTGAAATCCTGTAGCCATCACCTACAGGAAAAGGTGCAGTTTGTTTGTTGAATGGACTCTTTTCCCAAACTGCATGTTGTTGAAATATTCTCAACTAGTGCAAGAATAAAAGACCATTCTGTGACCTTCAGCAATTAGGTCTTTGATGTCATATCTGAGGTAGAAATTCCAGCAGAATCATTATTGGGAACATAAATGGCAATAAAATAAATATATGAAATGAAGTTTCCAGATTAAATACTCTTCAGATTAGTTTCAAAACTCAATTATAGTCTTTAATTTATCATTTTCTTCACTCATAATTTTGTCCTCAAGCGTACTTCCTTGGCCAACTGTCAGATAATTTACATGTATCCAGTGTATCTGAGAAGGAATATTTTAATGATGTTTTTTCTCTGAAGGACCAGAAAGTTATTGCTATGAACCAATATTTTCCATTTGGCTATAAAGAGCTAAAACTAGTTCTTAATATGTGCACACCTCACATTGCAGTTCTACCCAAGAAAAACATGGTGATACAGAAGTATAAAACTGTGACATTGAAAGTGTGTAAATCTATCAAACAAGTTCAAAGTATTTTCAGATAGTGAAAAAAAAAAACAATGAAAGATTATCGGATAATTTTGTTTGCTATTTTAGTCCTATTACTAACACTTCCATTAAGAAAGAGATTAGGGATTGGATTGCACAGTATTTTTTCCATCTCCCTTTCCTAAGGGAAAGTATTTATGTTTTGAAAAAAGAATTCACACTTGAAAATTTTCTATTAAAAAAACACATGTAAAACAAAAATATGTTCTTTTACAATTTCCAACTAACACTCAAAATATTTTAAGAAACCTAGAAAATTTCTGAAAAAAATTCTGTGATAAAATTTAATCAGTAATCTATTGTTCTGGCAACAAGTTTTCCCAATGGATGTAAGTTATAATTTAGCTGGTTTTACTTCTGTTAAAGACTTTTTGAAATGAGGGCAATAACAAAAATGGCATCTGTTTATAAATCCTGCAAAAAACCCTTATAGTTCTTGGCTCTACAAACACTGAATATAAACTCACAGAAATGAACAGCTTGATTGAAGCCTTTCATTTTTCAAAGCGCAACTATTGGAAAGCAGTAGTAGTTTTATAACCACTAGCATGAAAATTTCATGTTATCTATTAATTTTATAGAATTCTGAAGATACATAATCCTTCCTATTGCTACTTTTTAAAGTAATTGTGTTAAGTTTCCATCTTGCTTTTCACCAAATTGTCAGTTTTAAGATGTGGATTACTCAATGCTTGTTTCAAGTAGTTCTTTTGATTACTTTAAAGCTGGAGTCACTTCTTTTCCATTCTCATTTAAAACATTTTCTCATCACATCAGCACATTCTCTAAATATATCTTTAGATATGTCAGCTCAGGGCAGTGACAGACATTTCCACAACTGTCTAATGAGGGTAGGTATAAGGCTTGTCTACATATGAAAGTGAAAAGATTAAGCTACTTTGAAGTAAGGCAACTCGTTTTTCATGGGTGCCTCCAGATTTCAGTGCAATTTAGTTTTTACATATTGACTTCACACCTTGACAGTCTTCATACAGTCCTGATCTCAAGCAAGACTAACCATAAAATGTTAAACTATTATTCTGAGAACACTGGCACTTTACAAAGCCCTTTTCCAAAGAGATTTGTGTCCCAGTGGTGCTCCTGTATGGATTTTTTGATACAGATTCATTTACCCTTTACATTCATATCCTCATGAGAACATTACTAAGCACCTCTTTCTATTTAGACATTTATTCTCCCAAAACATATAGAAAATCACTATCTTTTCAGTTACTTGATGTATTTGAAACTGTGGAAAAGGCTAAAATTAAAGGTAAGGTGTAGACACAAGTCCATACACACGTGTATATATATATATATATATATATATATATATATATATATATATATATAAAAGCAACCTGCTAGATTACTCTCTTAACAAAGCAGACTGAAAAAGAAAAAAAACACCTCAGAACTGTATGATGGAGTAACACAAGGCTCCTTTCTTTTGTCTGCAGGACTTACTGTACAACCAGACTTTTAATTTCTTTACATCTCTGTAAAACTGCAAAAATATTTCCTTCATCCAAATCTTGTTATGTCCCTAATATTTAGTAATTAAGCTTTTCAGAACATGGATTATTTTTCACAGCAAAAATTATAGTTTGGATCCCCACAATTTCAACAACAGTAATGTAAATATTTAATATATATAAAAAAAGTCGCATGTTGTAATCCCCTAAAATAAAATAAAAACCTAAAATTTCTACTATAGGAGTATTTAACTAAAAAAAAAAAAAATAAAACAGCAAACAAAAAAACTCCACAAGCAAGCAAGGAAAATAACACATGGTGTGGGAATAATACATGCACAGAACTTGATCTTGAACAATTATTTCTATTTAGAGCTTTATAAATCATTGACATGTGGGAAAGCATTTAATTCTTTGCCTGCCCAGCCCCTAAATGCGAAGAAATAATAGAGATGGCATGGATTTTAGCTGAAATTAGCTATGCACCTGTTTCTATGCAGTGTAAAAGTCTATCATTTCTGGAAATTATCAGAAACACGGTCCAGCAAAAGACATTTCCTCTGTGTAGATTGGATTTTTAGGTTGCTTGGAGGAAGTTTTCTGTCAGACCATATCCAGGCAAGATCTAAGAACAGAACTTAATCATTAGGAAGAAGAAAAACTGTGTATAAATGTAGGCTTTAAGGATCACTAAAAAATGAAATGGTGAGTTTATTATGTTCTAAATCCTCATAGTTTTCATGTGTGGAGACAGCAGCCATCATCAACAGCAGAAGCTATACCTCTTGTGGATGAAATAAGGAGGTAACTAACTATATCAAACCAAGACCCTTACTTTTTATAGAATGGTTGAAATTGGGTAAAATGGGGACAAGAAGTATATGTTTTGTGTGCTGATTCACAAATGTGAACTAGGTTTGAGTCAGGTTACAAATTTTTGATCCAGCACTAATTGAAGATCTGAAGCTAAGACACTGATAGAAGCAAATTTCTGTTGATTAATTGTTTCCAGGCTTGGTCATATCGCACTTTGGAAGGATTGAAGTGTTTCCTTTTTTCCACAAGTTCTAAACAGAGGACAAAAATGCATTATATATCCTGACAACATAAAAAAAAATGGCAAGATATTTTCACTCTGCCCTGCTTCCTGTATTGCTATGTCCCCCAGCTTAAAATCATGGGTTTATTGGTATATAATATCAAATTTAGACATAGTCTCATTTTGTCCCACTTCTCCACAAATTCTTCCAAAGCAACTTCATAATAACACTAATGAAAGTCCTTTAAATCAAAATGCAGGCTTTGCTGGAATATGAACATTTGAAATTACCTGAAACAGTATATCTTTGTTGTTTTGTTTTCCAGACAAAAATTTATATATGTCAAAAAGCTACTGTCTAAAAACCACTAATGTGTATATTGTCCCTACAGTTAAGTAAAAATAATTTTGAGAAAAGCAGCCTGTATTTTCAATCATCCCCTTTCTATTGATATATTAACTCTAGTTAAAAAACTATGGTTAATAGTGGAAATTAAATGATCCATTACTTATACAGTGATAGAGCCTACTTTTGTTGCCCTTTGTGGACTTTGATCATTAAAGTAATGACCACAATTAATTTCTGCCCAGAAGGGAAATATTTTTCTCAGTGCTGTGCTGCAAGTGCAACTTTTACAGTCACTGGTGGTACAGCTTATATATTGGATAAAGTTAGCCATAGAGGGTACGTTCTTAGCTCTATGGTTTTCTCTGAGTCAGGTGTTATTGGCATAATGTCTATCAAAAAAATTTTAAATTCCTGAAGAATTAAATACCAACAGTATAGGAGACTACCTTGCCCTCTCCTCACAGTATCTCATGATACTCTAATGTCAATCAAGTTCAGAGCTGGGTTAGTGGTACCATTTATTACCAACTCTAAAAAAGAAGTTCAAGGCAAACTGCTGTTTTGATTCTCTCAGCAGGGAGCAACACTTTTAATAGGCGTGTGCATCTGCTGCACATAGAATGGAAATATCCTTGGCTAGCTGCGCGCACGCCCATCTGTCGGGATGGCGCGCTGCCTGCTGCCAGGTCGCTCACATCACTGCCACATGGCATAAATGCCAGCAGAGGGACAACTTATTTGGCCAGCCTGCTTGTCACTAAAAGTGAACAGAGCTTCTGCAGGACATCATTACAAATGCTTTGATAGCAACTGTTCAAACTTGGTGTCCTCTTAATATATTTTCATATTGTAGCACCTAGCCCTCAGATATTACCACAAGTGTCTTTCACACATGTAGCAGTCAGTCCCATGATGAAGATTAGCCTAATTGAAGTATACAATGAAACATTTCCACTCTCCTTTTAGCACAAAATACTTGCAAAAATAGTAAATATTTTTATGTTATTTCCATACCAACAACCTGTACCTGGTAGTATAAAGTTAACCCTTCAACTCTGAAGCTCATTTACTGCCTTCTGACTCTGAGGAGTTCTCTATCTTGACATTTACAAATTACAGTTTCCTTTTCTGAATAGCAGAAGCAGCAATTTTGCTTTATTTCCCAAAATAGTAACATTCCTCTTTGATCTCTTAATATTGAGAAATGCTGACTTATTTCTGAGAATAAACGCAGATGATCTTATTGTGTATTTCATTTGAATCAATGGTTAGATGAATAAGAAGACCCTTTGCTAACAAACTTTCAGATTCTCTTATGGCCTCACTTTCAAATAAAGTAGATGCAACATCAAATTTTCCATTTTCAGGAAATGATTTATAGAATAGAATTATTTCATTTATAATTTATTTTTACAATTTTTTTTATTGCCTAAATTTTTTCTGATACTTATTAAAAAAATTCTAGAGTGTCTGAGGAAACATACTGCTCCAACTAAAGATGAGGTATATATTATTAAAAGTTGAAAATGGCAAAAATTAATTATTTATGTAGGCAGGAATCTTTTTCTTGAGTTTTGGTATAAAGTAATGTGCACAAAGTCAAAATCATCACTTAAGTTTAAAAATATGTTGCTTAAAACAAACTCACAGAATTACTCAGGACCATTATGTCATTATTCATCATAATAATTATAAGGAAATATACCCAGTACTAATACTGCACTGCCCACTGGTCTAAGACAGGTCCTTACCTTTGGACCTATCTTAGTAAGGTAATATAATATTTTTATCAGTATTATGTGCATTTTTATATTACTTCTCTATCATTGTGGTTTGGTTTATAGGCCCTCATCTGTTTAAAAAGAAATAATTAAAGGAAAAAATAAATTCAGCACCAGAGAGCACATATCTGCATTATAAATTAGTCTTAAATATACAAAAAAGTAATCTCATCAGACTGCATACAGTACAGAGAGAAGTAGATGAATAGATCAAATCGGGTAAATGATTCTTGAATTTAGAGGAAAACAAGAGGATTAAAAGTAGCCTATATAGAGCTTTGTGATACCAGAAGCTGAGGGGTGGAGCACAAGGGCTGGCTTCCTCACCTATATGCTGCGTGGGTCATACTGCTGAGTTGTAGGCACACAGTGTGTGTAACTGGGAGCGGGGCTGAGCCCCATCCCCAGTGGGCACAGCTGTGAGCAGCAGGTGAGCAGCACTGACAGCAATGAGCCATGGAGTGCCCAGGCACTGCCCAACCACCAAAGGGAACAGAGGGCACACGGGGCACTGCATCAGCAGGAGGGGATAAAAGGCTGGGCTGAAGAACAATGGCAGACACTCACAGTCTTCTGAAGTAAGGTGATGTTGCTCTGTGTGGGCAGATGCTTGAAGCCTTCTGATATGGTCTGGTGTTACTCTGTATGGGTGAATGCTTAAAGCCTTCTGAAATTGTATAGTGATACTCTGTATCCATCTGTGGCCATCTGTCATACTGTGTTTTCTACTGTGGTGGTGCTGTGAAATATTTCCATGGAGGTTAGTCCATGGGCAGTGTCTTATTATTAGAGAGCTGGAACGCCTCTCCTATGAAAAAAAAAAAAAAAAGGCTGAACCTAAGAGACCCATCACATCCTCTCTGCCTGGGGAGCAGAAGGCTTCAGGCAGACCAGTATAAAGGCAGCTTATAGGGAAGATGGAGAGAGATTCTGTGCCAAGGTTTGTAGTGACAGAACAAGAGGCAATGGTTTTAAACTGAAAGCAAGCACATTTATGTCAGATACAAGAAAGAATTTTTTTACAACGAGGATGTTGAGACACTGGGACAAGTGGCCCAGCGAATTTTCTCAACTATTTACCTCTGTAAATGCACACATTTGTACTCTTTGTAGCTGCAGTGTTATATCTGCTTTAGTTCTGCTGAATATGAACAGTCATTTGCAAAACTATTTGTACTAAACAAGAATAGTATGAGTATTGTAGTAAATGTTTAGAAAACAATTTAATATCTTAGATCCCCATCTTGATAATGAAATGAATAAAAAGTGAAGTGCAATAATATGCAAACAAACTACATAATGCAAACTTAGAATAATATTTAGCTTACAATGTACAAACATTCCATAAGCTGAAGCCTTCTCACTGGGATTTTTTGATAGCAGTTATTTCTTGATGAAAGATTTGTTTGGGTTTGGTTTTTGTTTTTTGTTTTTTTGCAATAATTGCTTTCTTCCTCTTTTGTCATGGTTTGACACTGGCACAATGCCAGCGCCCCCATGAAAATGCAACCTATTAATTGAATGCTGTGAAATGCAACTGAGAACAGAGCAAAGCAGGCCAAACTTAATAACAAGGTAAAAACTTTATTACACTACTATTACTATAATAGGGGAGAAAAAAAAAGGAAGGAAAAAAACACACACAAAATTCAAAATTAAAACCTTTCAAAACATTCCTCCTCCCACCACCCTTCTCCAACAAACCACAGCGAGACATATTTGGACCCTTAATCAAGTCTTCACCCTTCCACATAATCAATACTGAGTCCATCAGGGGAGAGAGGAATCTCCCTTGCACCATAGACCCCCAGGAAACACAGCTGCCACCTCTTGTGTTTCTATGTCACACATGGCACTGCCCAGACACATCGGCCAGTGTGACATTCTCCTCTCCATGTCACAGTGCTCTCACCACCGGGCATGGACAGAGACTGCTTATAGGGCTCCTTTAAGGATGCTTTGCCAAGGACCCACAGGAACAACAGTCCAGTGTCTCATTTTGGGACTACAGTCCCCCCCCATTTTCTCCTGGGGCCGAGGTTCCAAGAACAGAGATCATCTTCTCTTCTTCTCTGAAGACGGAGGGCATCCCTCCTCCACTTTTCTCTGTTCATTCCTGAACTGGTAGTTGCTGAAGCAGTCTCTTGGCTCACCATTGCATCCCCCTAAAATGCAGTCTCTCTTGGAGGAAGGATTGGTTCAGTCTATGGCTTACAAGAAAAGTCCAGCCAAAAGCCACTCCATCATCTCCTCACATCCTTCTTTCCCTAACATCTGAGATCCCAGGCTGTCCCTCTTCCCTTCAATTTGAGGAGGAGTAATATTTCACAAAGCCTTCATTTCCCAGGAAAGGGTTAAAATTCCCGGACTCCCCGGATGGACAGCTGAAATCTCGGCCCAGGACTCCGTCTCCCATCTCCCATGCTGGGCATCTTCCCCCCACCCTCCTTCTCCTCTGCCGGCAAACTCCCAGGTGTCTGCTGGCTCTCTATCTCTTTTCCCTCTAGGTTCGGGGGGAGGAACAAAGACCTCTCAGACCTTCTCCACCCTTCCATCCTCAGGAGGTGGCCCAGCTCAGTTCCTGATCCTTCACCCCCTGGCCTACCTCTGCAGGCCACTTGGCTTTTCCCCTCCCCCACCCAGCTTGCCGCTGGGCAGGGGAGGTCTGTACCTTGAGATGACCAGAACCAAAGAGAGCGAGTTCTCCTGGGAATTCTGCTTTTAACCCCTCTGTGTTCTCAGAGGCATGTCCACCTTCAGTCACCCCAAGTTTAAGTATCCAAACCTGACCCCTGACTGGATTGACCTCTTCCTTCTGGAAAAATTCTTTATCCATGTCAAACCACAACATCTTTAAAAATCAATATAAATCAAAGCATGTAAACCCATTTCTCTAGAAAGACATTGAAAGCTGAATCACATTCCAGAACACTGTTGTTTTAACAATGCTAATATTCTGTATTTTAGATATCTATTCAAACCTTGCTGTTAGGTCAAGATCTGTAATCCAGATTCCCAGCAATAGATAAATTACATCATGGTACATAGCACACCATAAAGAAGACAAACCTAGTTGTGGAGGGGTGATTCCAACAGGGAAGTGGTTGTATAGTGGAACAGACAAAAAATTACCATGAAACCACAGCAGCTCTTCAAGTACAATATTATTTTTTTCAGGAAGGTTTTCTAGATTTCAGACAGCAATATATGACAAAAAAACTTGAACTTTTGTATAGAAACTGTACTTGAAAATTGGAATAGATATTTTTAGACACTTTTCTTACAGGCATACCATTTCTCTACTGCTCATGTAAATGTTTTTTAATAAGAATTTTTTTTTATTAATATCATGGCCTTTTTGTGAACATGTTTACTTCTAACAGTAGACAGATAAGCAATTAGGAACGTTTACTAATTGCAGTAAATTTCAGTATGACAAGAAATGCAACTTCTCAGATGCCTATGATGAGTTAAACATAAATTTAATCTAAAACACATGCTTAGCAGGATGGTATGCTCTTATATTCTATTGTAAGAAGTGTTAGCATTTGATTTTAAGGACCTAATTCATTAATAGCAAATAGTTTAATAAGATGTCCTATGAAGACACTTTGAGTTTTTTTAGAGGAAATTACAGAAGATACAAAGCTTTTTTATAATTAAAAATAAAATTAGCAACAACATCACTGGTGCATATGAAAAATTAACAAAATATATTTTTATAATACTGAAGTGATATAAATGTAATGACAATAAATTAATTTATAAACTTCTGTGATTTTTCATTTGTTTCATAGGAAAGCTATTTCTTCAGGCTTCTGTGTTATGACAGAGGTTGTAAAAACTGATTATCAGTTACATGCACAAAGTTAGTGAGTACACTTGCATAGCACAAATAGATGCATATAAGACAGTACTAGAAAAAGATCTTGAAAATCAAGACAAAATCAAATCCTGCCAGCTGCAGAAAGTTAAAATGCTCCAAATAGGCCAACTTTACTAAAACTTTCATTCTTTTGTGCTTTTTACAGTGAAAGTAACATAGTAATGAAGGTTTCAAAATTCACCTTTGTAATTTAATTCCACTAAAAGAGGAGAGAATTTTTTTTGCTACGGGTCATAAACCACAAAGCCAAGATTTTGTACAGGTATAGATTGTTTAGGATTTTTTAAGTTTTTAGGGTTTTTTTTTTTACCTAAAGCCATAAAGTAGAGCTAGAAACATATTGTTATAAGGTAGCCTAAGTCCATATAATTTTTATTTTATCTCCATATATATTTTAGAGTAAGGCTGTCAGTATTCCCTCATAAAATGTGAGCACTGTAGAATACAACAAGATCCTCACCTATAAATTATCATAGATAAGGTATTACACAAATAAGGTATTATTGCCCAGTGCTTGTTTTACTCAGCAGTTTCACCTTTACGAAAAAGAGTAAACTAAGGATGGTTTGTCTCTCTGTACCATGTATTTCTTGCCCAGAAATAATAGTCTCCTCAAAGAATCAAAATCTCATGTGGTAGTTTTGGAACAGGAAAAACTATACATATTTAAATAGGGACTAGGAATCAATAAGAAGCAGAAGAGTAACAGCAATTTTTGAAGTCAATGAATGGACATTTCTGTAAAAAACAAAAACCAGAGCAAAGTTGTGTCAAAGCAAGGGTGTCACTTCCAGCCATCAAGCCATGATGACCAGAAGAAAAAGAATTATTTAGCATTGTACCCATTTTCCTTTTATTCTATAGCAATATTTTGAAAATATATGTTAGAATTGTATTTTAAAAGACAGAAGGAGCTGTTAAAATATTGCTGGATTTCACTTTAAAAAATATTTGTCAATTTATTTTGTATAGAATATTTCCATTAAAAAATAATTAAGCCTTGTTACAATTGAAAAATCGTTTCATTTTGCTATGAGACTTTCCCACAACTGTCTTATCTAGTGAGTTATTCTATTGATTAATTTAAAAATTCATAATTTCTGGAGAAAAAAATTAAAATACAGGTTGTGCTTATAATTTCAACCAGTTGTCACATACAATCCAGAAATAGAATATTACAAGAGAAGTAAAAACCCAAGACTAGCTCAGGTCATGAGGGCTTTCTTAATGGGGTAACTAGTACTAGCCAGTATGACTAAAAGTGGTGTGACTTAGACAAGGTCAGAACTAAAAACTAATGAAATTTTGTCTAATTGTACTGAAAGAGAGTTCTTACTTAAGCGCCCTAGATAATGTAGGTGCTACACTGACCCATGGCAATGTCTATCTGGGTGTGCACGTTCACTATTGCCTATCAGGGAGATTTCATTTCCTTCACAGGAGGCCATTCCAGTCAGAGTTACCATCCTCACCTCCATTCCAGACAGCTTTCTTCTACTTGCTGTATAGATTGCTCATTAGCATGGCAGCCTACAGTGATTTCAGAGACATGCTCACTTAGATCTATGCCAAATTACCTCTGAACATGCTTTCATGACATAGACTGAAAATAAAGACTGAGCTCAGAGACACATGAGCTAGCACCTTGGTGAAACTGGACTAAAACGAATTTCATTGTGAAGAAAACATCAGTGATAAAAGGAAGTTTCAAATGTGAACAGGGAGAACGAAGTCAGCTGCAGAATAAAATACACAGATTGAAAATGGATGGCGAAAATTGCCGATGTATATCAGAATTTACAGGTGGCAAGGGTTTTTTTCAGCCTTGATTAGAACTTCAGTCTATCTTCAGCACTGTGACAACATTACTACTATGCAAAATTAGCTCAGAAAAGACAAAATACTACTGTTAGGTAATGGAATAAACTGATTTATGAGGTGTGAATAAAAATATATAATCCTATAATTTTGCTAAGTGATCACCTACATATTGTAGGTGGATACAGGCAGAGAGGAAGGAAAGGAATTATTTCAAGAATCACAACAGACTATAACTGCCTAAAGAAGTAATAGCTTACCTTGAGAAAAAGATAATTTTAGATGTATATTAGAAAATACTTTCTGATCCATTAGACTCTAATACAATCTTCTGAGGAAAGTGCTGAAATCCTGGTTAGGAAATTTAGCAATTAGATGGAAAGGAGTAACAGGCATATGCTAAGAAGAACAGTAGAGAACCTGCAAGAAATTGAAAAAAGTTCTATCAGGTCATCTAATTCACCTTAATTTCTATGAAAATTAATGTTTGCTCTTTTACCTTGGTTTAAATTTTGCTCATCCAGTCATGAAACCTTTTAAATCTCTGGACTCTAAAAATGTCTTTCATTCAGGCAGCAGTGCCTCAAAGCTATTCACGCTAATTAGGCAAGGTCATTTAAATACATTTTTCATGAAGCACCTTAAACTCAGTGTGCCATTTTATATATTTATCAAATTGCTAATCAATATGCTATACCACAGTTACCACTGGGCCTCGAGTTACACAGAATGCTGCACGAATTTAAATTGTGCAAGATGCTTTCTGCATAAATGAAATTAAAGTGTGTGCATTGATCATTATTCACAATAGAAAAGAAATGACCTAAATATATTCAAATCAGAAATCTGTATTTTAAGTAAATCTTAACTGTATTGTTGGCTTCTTTTTTCATATGTTTTTTAACAAGCCTTGTATTAGACTAGCTTCGATTTCACTTTCTTTCTCCAGCATATTACCTCCACTGTATTGGTAAAGTAATTTATTCCATCCTCTGTGGAGACCCTGGATCTCATTTGCCAGCATATTTATCTTTCCTGCCACTGCACTGTCATTCATCTGCAATCTCCACAGAATACCAGACCTGTGCAGAATTTCAATTAGGATTGATTCAACTAAATCCAGGCCACAGAATTGAGGCTGACAGGGTGACCCCCTGAGAATTTAATATGTTGAATTCTAAAAAAAAAAAAAAAAAGCCAGAAATACTGCAAAACAGAAAATAGCTCAAGTTTAACACCCTAATTCATTAACTCCTCTATACACTCAGTTCAATCTGTCTCACAATAGGTTTTTTCAGACTCTGTATCGTTTACAGTAGTTTCGACTACCACAGGAAAGACAAAAATCTCTACTCTTCATCTGAGGTCTAATCAACTTAAACTCAGACAGCTTGTAATGAACAGGGGAATTATTTCCACAGAGGCTGAGCTACCTTAAGCTTTCTATTCTGAATATACATATATTAAAAAATCAGTACAGTATAGGTATACAGGTGAAATAGCTTTTATTGGATCCTTGACTTCACAGACCTCCAGTGCGTTCCAGTGTAATCATTGACAGGCTTCATCTGCTTGTCAGTTAAATGTCCTAACAGAATTTCTTAAATAATATGTGGTTACTAGAACAGCCTTGTAGGTTTCAAGGCAACTAAGCTCGAGAAGAACAGGAATCTGAGAGATCTTTTTTCTTGTAGTATGTAAGTATCCACTATTTGAGTTTTAACTTTACCTTAGTTGTGCACAACTTGAGACTTGCTTTGATTCTACACCAGAAGCAGGTGTAAGTACATGCTCAGTTTTACACAAAGTATTACAGTACAATAGAGAAATTATAACAATTCCACATTTAATTAGATTTTTTTTGTTGTTATTAAAGAATTGTATTGACTAAATTTTCCTTAAATATCAGTGTATGATATTATAAAGTTAGTATTATAGAATCAGAATATCCTGGGTAAGAAAGGACCTACAAGGATCATTGATTCCAGCTTCTGGTCCTGCACAAGACCACCTCAAGAGTCATACTATGTGCCTGAGAGCATTTTCCAAAAACATAAATTTCTACCTCACTTAATGTGAAAGGTAATGTAAGGACTCACATATTAAACACTTACCAAACATTAAATCAAACAAAAGAATAGAAATGGAGTTGGGAAATATTAGCATACACACATATTAATGTTGAATAGAACATGCGTCTGCTGGAACTGGATGAAATAATTAAAAGAAGCATTGATTTGTTTATACATAGAGATGCAAGATCAATGAGTCTAGCATAAGCAAAGAAATTAAGACATTAATTGATATTTGGGAGGATGTCATATTATTTTAACTTGACATAACTTTAACTTAACTATAAAATATTTCATATATGACAAATATTTTGGAATCTTTCATCTGAATCTTAATATTTTACCTGAGTGTTAATTTGTCTCAGTGAGAAATTTCTCAGTGTACTAGGATTATTCTGAAGAAGAAGCCCAAATATCACCAACTTAAAATTAATATATATACAATGTCCAGAAAGAATCCCCCAATAAGGTAGATTTCATTCTGAAATTTGGTCACAAGATCCATGTGTCACTTCAGTAAAGAGCAAACTGCATTAATACATACTTTATTGCATTGATATATGTGTGCCTTTGGTCTGTAAGCATAGTGTAGGGTAGTGGAGGTACAAAAAAATTATGCTCCCAATATATTCTTCAATAATTACTGCTTTCCAAGGCTATTCCAAGGTACCAGATTATGACTGTAATAAATTAGAATTTTTCTCCAGTACTACATAGAAATGCTACAATAAACACATAAACACAAAGCATAAATATTTTACATTATCCTTTCTTTGGAGAGTGGATGGAGAAACACAGATGTGTTGCTGTACTTCTTACAGCTGTCATGTGGATACAAGGGAGAATTTTAAAGTATGAGAACATAATGAGATTCAAATTAAATTGGAGAGGATACAGGGGAATTTTACTATCTTCCTTCATTTGTCTAAATTTGATCCATTTCTTCACTGATCATAAACCAGATTTTCCATACACTGGACATTTTTATAACTAAGTCCTTTATTCCTTAGTTCATAACCTGAAACTAAGATCCAGTTGTCCTATTGAGAGGGTTTTTTTCAGTACTTGGAAGGGTTTCTATGTGTTATAGTTAAAAAAAAAAGCAAAAATGCTAGCAGAAACTACTGCTGGTGGAAATTTTGGCAGCTCATTTACTACATCATGTTTCTTGCCTTATTACATAACAACAGATATGAGAAGATCAAGCATTTATTTTCCCACTTGTGATCAACTTATAGTTAACCTGACCCAAAGCCTCATTACTGAAAGTCACCCTAGGTAGTGATCTAATCATTTGACTTACATATTTCATTTCACCCATTCTTTTTCTATTATACTTCCTAAAACCTTCAAAAGTTTTAAGAATCAATCACTACAAATACTGTACAAAAAGAACTCCATACATCTGTCTTCACTATGTTGCCCACTGTTTTCTTTTCTTTCTGATGGTGAGGTATTTTGATCTTTCAATTTATTTTTAGTCTTTCTTATTACACTTTATTGCTTGAAACTGTTTCTTGTGACTTATCTGATCTGATTGGGCTATTATTCTTATTCTATCACCTTAAATTCAGATCTTTCCCATTCTTGTGTAATTTCTGTTTGTTTTCCAAGTCCCTAAAGTGATCTGTTAAAGCAACATAGACCTTTTGCTGTATTTTCTATCTATATTTCTCACCAGGAAATTTTGCTGTTATGCTTTTAATAAGGTTCTTTACTTTGACTGACACTTCAACTATACTATTTCACCCTTAGATCATATTCCCAAGAGACCTTTTTTCATTTTCAGTGAATTTATTGAGATTTTTGTTTGGGTTTGTTGTCACTTTCATGATGCCACTATATTTAAAATACTCAGAAATTCCACTCCTTCCTTTATAAATCAAACAACCAAAGAGAGAAAAAGTGACCTTTTAACTTTCATCTGTCTAGACATACCTAATTCTGGTTAAGTCTCGTTATATTTCTATTACTCTTGTTATTTCAGCCTGTTTCTGATCATATATTTTATTCACAAAAAAAAGTCACTTATATAAGTCATTTTTAGAGGTTTTTTGCAGTTACTGTTTGTTCAGAATAGAATTTTCAAAGATATGTCAACACTGTTTACTTTTCCAATTGAAACTCGTTTTATTGCTGAATGCTTTGTTTTTTGTTTTTTTTTTTACATTAAATATAATCTCTTCAATATAAAGGAAATCCTTCTCTTATTAATGTCTGTAGAAATTTCACATTGGCCTCGGTGGCCCTGGATTGGGTATCTGCCATAAGGAAGTTGTGAGCAGGTAAGGATGAAGTAAAGATAATAACTGAGGCTGTAAAGTTTCTAAGTATTTTGTCTACTAGCAGCTCTGCTCAGTCCTCATTGCTCTACTCTTCCTTTAAGTTTTAAATAGGTAGAACAGTAAGTTCACCAAATGTACTAGAACACCTTCAGAATACACTGTATAACATGGTGTGTTCTTGAAATCTATGTTGGCACAAACACATTTCCTGTTTGAAGCCAGGTTGATAGTTATACATGACATAATTTCTATCTCATTACTTTTTTATAACTGTGTAACTTAATTTTGTTCTAGAGCTTTACCCAACTATACAAACACTTTAAAAAAAAAAAAAAAAAAAAAAAGGAGGCGCTTTATTCTAGGCTGTTCCCACTCCTACAGCAAGAATAGTAGAGGGAGAAGAGAGGAGCCAGAAATACTGCAATGATGGACAATTCAGGACATTGGACATCTGTTGATTGGATCTAGGATCATTATTTCTGCCATTTACTGAATGGATTGTTGGGGATAGTTTTCCTTTGGAGACCTTTCCAAAAATGAACGATGCAATTATAGAAATAGCTGTATGATGGCATGGCCCCACCTGTTATTTGTTCCCTATCCAATACTTAAAGCATCAGAGTTTCACCATTCTACAGTTTAGTAAGACTTTATTCCTCACAGACTGTGCTCCAAAGTACAGACTATTTATTTCATCTGAGCTCTGGAAACAAGTTTTGCATATTATCATTTAGCAACGCTTCTTCAATGCAGCTGGCAATGTGAAAACTCAAAAATGTCCAAGATGTCAATTAGACATTATTGAAACATATCAATTATCAGGGCTCCACCGCCCTTGTCAATGTACTCACACATTAAGAAAATACATCCTCCAAAATCAAATCCTTATAATCTTAATAGACAGGAGGAGATGCCTCCTGAATTATAAAACTATAAATTGTCAAAGTTCCTCATTAAATCTACATTAATTGCATGGTAATTCATAGATCTACATACCCATAAAACACCCAGATCAAGATGCATATACTTGAACACTGCATACCTCAATAACATATTATTTTTT